AGGGGGAGTGTCCCCGATCACACCTGAGGTGATTCCACGAGCTCATCGATGGGATCAAGATCAATGGGGTTCCAGCCGATGCCATCCAGCTGAGGTACTTCCCATTTACCCTGGAGGGGCAAGCCAAGGAGTGGCTGGACACTAGGCCTCCCGGATCGATCACCACGTTCGCCAACCTGGCGGACAAGTTCCTCACCCGCTATCATCCTCCGTCAAAAACGGCGGACTTGCAGAAGCAGATCACCCACTTTGCCCAGGATGAAGATGAGACCATCCGGGACGCATGGGAGAGATACACCGGTCTCTTCCTGAGGTTTCCCAATCATTGTTTCAATGATTCCTTCAAGGTGGGCACCTTCTACCACGCCCTCTTCCTAGAAGACAAGCAGCTGATTGACTCGGTTTTTTGCGGGAACATGCTGACCAAGACGCCGCCGCAGTTGAATCAGCTCTTTGAGGAGATGGCAGAGAAAGGGTATGATTGGGGCACCGCTAGGAGGTCGAGGAGAGCACCAAGCCGAGGTGTACATGCTGTGGGCACCCACTCTTCTGATTTGGTGTAGGTTGTGTCTAAAATGGTCTCAGCCATCGATCGGAATGGGATGATCCCAGGGGCAGCACAGCAGCAGGCGATGCATTGTCAGTGGTGCGAGAGCACCCATCATACTGTGGAGGACTGCCAGGCCATGCGTGAGGCCAGTACACCCCAGGAGCATGTGAACTTCGTCAACAACGCTAGGCGCAATGATCCTTACAGTAATACCTACAACGAGGGTGCCCAAAGCCACCTGGCTACCAGGCTCCTACAACTAGTTTTCCAAACCAGAGGCAGCCATACCAGCCTCGCCCGGGCCAGATGCAGCAACAACAACCACTTTATCAGTCTAGACAAGGGCATGCTTTTCAACAGCCCCCAAAGCAGCAGTACCAACAGCCTGGTGCATCTCCATCAGTCCCAGCACCGGGCGACCCCGTGTCAGAACTAAGGGATCTAGTGACTACCTTGGCCAGCACTAGTACCCAAAATTTCAATAAATTGGAGCAGTTCATGGAAGTGACTGCAGGAAAATTCATGGAGATTGAAGCTGGCCAGAGAAACCAGCAGGCACTTTTGCAGGATATGGACACCAAGATCGGGCACCTGGCAGATGCCCTTGCCTCCAGACCGGCTGGCACACTTCTTGGCCAACCCCTACCGAATCCCAAAAATCATAAGGAGGGGTTGCACGACATTATGCTGAGAAGTGGGACTGTGACTGCGGATGCACCGCAGAAGAGTGCTAAGAAGGTGACCTAGATCACCCCGGAGCCGGAAGAAGACCTGGTGATGGAAAAGGGGCCAGAGGATCAAGGTCCAAAGCCACAACCAGTAGTGGCTGAATATAAGCCTAAGCTCCCTTTTCCCACCAGGATTTACAAAGACAGGCTAGAGGCAGAGTTCGGCAACTTCTCATCCATGCTTAGGAAGCTGCATGTTCAAGTGCCCTTCATGTAGGCACTATCTCTGATGCCTAAGTACGCGAATTTCCTGAAGGAGCTTCTCTCTAAGAAGCGAGTTTGAGCGAGCTAGCCACTTTGGAGCTCAGCGAGGAGCTCAGAAGCAGAAGGACCCAGGTAGTTTTACTATCCCATGCTCTGTAGGTAAATTGCATGTAGAGAGGTCCATAGCAGATCTAGGTGCTAGTATTAATGTGATACCATATAAATTGTTCAAGAAACTAGGCCTAAGTGAACCCAGTGCAACTAGGATGAGTATTCAACTAGCTGACCAATCTATAGTTCATCCTAGGGTCATAGTGGAAGACCTTCTGGTTAAGGTTGGCAGATTCCTTTCTCCCTGCTTCATCGCCTTTGCATGTTGTTTCTCACCAGGAGCACGAGTTTGTCGTGTATCCTTCTATGCTTCCCATTTTGCAGGATCCTCCTTCCATATCTTCGCCGCCACTCCCGTCCACTCTGTTACCAAAAGACAAGATCAAGGAGGAGTGGCGGCCGGAACTGCAGGTAGCCAAGCCTGCTCAAAAGAAAGCTGGAGACCACTATGAGCTGGTCCCGCCTCTTGGGCCTCGACCGCCTTGGCCGTCCGAGTATTCACTCGCTTGCATCCTGCCGGATGGTAGGTCCAGTTGACGAGTGCTGGTGGTCACACTCGTCGTGTGCATGGCCACCATCTGAAGCTGTACCTCAAGAGCGATGTGGATCCGCTCTTGGAGGCACTTGTTCCTTCACCTCTCTGAGCATCCACCCTACTGGCGTCCATCTAAAAGACGGTAAAGAAGCGCTTGTGGGGAGGCTACCCCATCAAGGTTTGTTTTTCTTTCGTTTGTTTTTCGATTTGTCCACTTGGAACTAAGGTTTTTATCACCCAGTGTGTTTTAATGACTCTAGCACGGCTGACTGGTCCCATTTCCAGTCCCCCGACAGTCCGTATTCCTGGTAACATCGTTTCCCCTTGTCTTTCCCTCTGCTCCATTGAGGGCAATATCGTGCTTAAGTGTGTGTGTGGGGGTGGGGGTGTTTATCGGTTGTTGACTGCTAGATGAGTTTGTGTGCTTGGAGCCTAGTCCGTTGTCCAAATCTTGAGATTTGAGGGCTCCAAGTACTGAGGTTTGCATGATCATATTGGCACTGTGGATTTGATTAGTGAATCGAATGGCTTTCGAATTATTGCACGACAGCTTGATTGTAACTAGGACAGCCTATAATGATGACTGAGACGTGCAGTAGAATTGTGTAGAGGTTTATTTTTTTTTTCGACTGTTTGCTTACCAACTGTGACTTGGATTGATCACTTGCTCTTGACAGTCGTTTATGCATCTAGTTCAGGGAATCGGAATGAGAGATAGAGCATTTAGGTAGCCATGCGAGATTTAAGCCTGCTCGTTTCTTTCTTGTGTGATAGATCCCTCTTCCATGATGTGTAGCATTCATGTTGTCATTAGCTAAGATGATGGAAGCATATGAATAGCCCACAACCAAATTGACTGTCCTGGTGTGTCATACCCCCTAATCAGCCCTTTGAGTCGTGTAATTTTCTTTCTTTCGGTCTGCAATGGAAAATCACCCTTTTGCATCTCTTAGAAGGTTCCACAGAGTGGTTTTTACATGTTCTCTGCTGTTTCTGCTAAATATAATGTGAGGGTTGGAGGTAGTTCTTAAAAAGTTGGGCATGCGTTTGAAAAATGTGTATAGGTGGTGGTTCTCTCAAGAAATGAAAAAAAAAAAAAGATGAATGAAAGAAAAAGAGAGCCACCACCAAAAATCTAAATAGTGCCCATTAAGTAGTGTTTCTTAGCAGTCTGGCTTGGAAATACTAACATTTATGTGACCTCCTTCGCTCTTGTGCTCTAAAGAATCTGAATAATGCAGAATGGCAGAAAGAAAGTTACTGGTTTGATTGGTTGTGAAGGTGTTGGGTTTGGAATTGTGGAACATGGTGCTATGAATACTTCCACCACCTAAAAGGCCTTTTCCCCATGTCCAAGACCCTAGCTAGTCACTTGAACCTGTGTCTAAGACCTCCGGATTAGTTAGTAGTGACATCCCTTGTGTGAGCTCTAACATTTAGAGGCTGCCATCATGGTGAAGAGATGTTAGGATTTGAGAGAATATGCATGCGCATTTTTCGCATCAAAGGTCCTGACCCCAGTGGTCGAGAGTGAGCGATTCATTTCCTTATTCTTTATGCTCTTTACACCGGTGAGGACCTAGATGGCTCGCTCTTGATTATGATGTCTTAAGTTTGATGCATGCGATGACTGTCTTGATCAAGTGGTTGAGTCAAGTCTATGTTGGTTGGTGAATAGAAGGGAGACCCCTCCTTTACCCGATTTTATTGCACTCGAATATCCTCTGTGGTGGTTGTCCAGGTTGCTGTTGAAGTTGTTCATGTGTTGATGTTTGAAAGCCAGTATGATTCTCGTGTTCTGTGCCTATATGATTTGTCCCCAATGTTGGTATGATTGAAATATGTTGAGCTTACCTTGTATCTGACTTGGTTTGCTTGGGGACAAGCAAACAGTTAAGTGTGGGGGAATTTGATGACTTGATATATACACATGTTTTTGTCCACCATTCTTGTACCGTTTGAGTCTTATTTCTAGTGTTTTAGGCCGATTTCATGCTAGGTTGTTCTTGTTTGTGATTTTTCAGGTCCTAGTACGTGAATGAAGGTTTGGGAATGAGTTCGGGGTCGATTGGACGAAGATTGGACGTTTGGCAAGAAGCGGAGGAACTCACACGGGCATGCCTAAAATTCCACACGGCCGTGTGACACCAATTTGCACGGACAAGCCACACTGGCCGTGTAGGGGACCCCTTGTGGCCGTGTGGAAAGTCCAGGGAACTCACACGGCCGTGTGCCTCTGGCCGTGCAGCGTGCCTGAAGTCCACTAATCGAAACGCGGCGTTTTCACATCCACACGGGCAGACTGGAAAGCCACACGGCCGTGTGGCCTGGCCGTGTGGTCGGGAAATTCTGGGTTTTAACCCAATTTCGAGCCAAATGAGAGGGAATCGAGTTTTTAGCAAGAAACAGAGCCCTAGAGAGAGAAAGTGCGAAGAACAAATCCTAGAAGTGATTTTGGAGTTGGTTCATCAATCGAGCTTGGAGATCATCATCCCAGAGCAGATTTTCCTCATATTTATGAGTAGGCTTAATTGCAAGTTTGGTCACTCGAATTGATTTATTTCATTCGTAGTCACTTAAATTAGTTTAACAGTCCAACTTTGGTCACTCTCCGTTAACCTCCGTCAAACTCCGTTAGTACCGTCAGTTAACTGCTGACGTGGCTAACAGAGGTGCTTAGTCATCCTATTTTAACAAATAAAAAAAAAAAAAAATATGCCACATCATTAACCCCTTAATATTTTAAAAGTTCACCCAAACCCAACCAACTCCTGACCCGAGCCGAAGCTTTGAACCCGCGGTCACCCTCCTCCGGGCCCGGTCCCCGCCCAGCCCCAAATTCCACAACGTCGAGTACGACCCGCCGCCGACCATGCTCTCCGCTCCCTCTTCCGCCGCCGGCAAAGACTCCGCCACCTCCATGGCGATCCTCGAAATCACCACCGACCAAATCAACCGCCTGAGAGACCAAATCAACCGCGACAACGTTACGAAGGCGAAATACAGCACGTATCAGATCCTCACCGCCCACATCTGGCGCGCCGTCACCAGAGCCCGGGATCTCGCCGCCGACCAACCCACCAAGCTCCACATCTCCACCGACGGCAGATCTCGCCTCAACCCGCCGCTCCCCGCCGGTTACCTCGGGAACTGCGTCTTCCACGCGACCCCGATGGCGGAGGCAGGGGAATTGGTCTCCGAGCCGCTGATTCGGACCGTGGACCGGATCCACGGCGCGATTAAGCAGATGGACGACGAGTATTTGAGATCTGCAATCGATTACCTCGAGGATCCGAACGATTCTTTGGCGATTATGCAGGTCCCGAGGACCTGCAGGACGCCGAATCTGAAGATCATTAGCTGGATTCGATTTCCGTTTGAGTGCGCCGATTTTGGGTGGGGGGGGCCGATTTTCAATCGGCCGGCGAATCTGTTTGAAGGGAAGGGGAATATCTTGCCCAAGTACAGCGTCGACGGGAATTTGTCGCTGGCGCTCTGTTTGGAGAACTATGCCATGGAGAATTTCAGGAAGACGTTCTACGAAGTGGGATGGGTGAAGAAGAAGAAGAAGAAGAAGAAGAAGAAGAAGAAGAAGAAGAACAGGGGAATTTGATTCTGGGTTTGTGGTTAATTCGCTTGATTGGGGTCGGAGCTGGGGAAGAAGAAGGGGGGAGGAGAGGGGGAACAGGTGAATGGGTCGGTTCAAAGGTTCGGCTCGGGTCAGGGGTTGGTTGGGTTTGGGTGAACTTTTAAAATATTAAGGGGTTAATGATGTGGCATATTTTTTTTATTTTTTTTTTGGTTAAAATAGGATGACTAAGCACCTCTGTTAGCCACGTCAGCAGTTAACTGACGGTACTAACGGAGTTTGACGGAGGTTAACGGAGAGTGACCAAAGTTGGACTGTTAAACTAATTTAAGTGACTACGAATGGAATAAATCAATTCGAGTGACCAAACATGAAATTTTGTAGCAATTCGAGTGACCAAACTTGCAATTAAGCCTTTATGAGTATGACTACTCTGATTTCTGTTTTCCTCTCTCTCTCTATGGAGTAGAACCCTCTCTGACTTGGATATGAAGAACCCTAGTTCCATGAGTTAGGGATCTTGATTGTAATGACTTGGGATTGTTATACTGATTCATTTTAATCGATTGATGCATGATTTATTGAGTCAATTGAAGTCAAATCATCTTTTCTTGATTTCTGCTGCAACCTGAGATAAATAGAATCTGATTAGGTTGTTAGAGCATCATCAATCGGTAGTGGTAGATTGATTATACGAGAGTTAATCGATTTACTACTTTGTACTGGACTCTAATTCTAGTAGTGGAGTTCTGTGTTCATAGCCTCAACTTCCTATCCCGGTGAAGACTAGTCGTCTGCCGGGTAGTTGGACTGAGAGGGCTTGGTCAGCTTAAGAGATTTCGAGCTACTGTCGGATCTTCCGCAGTTTAATCAACAGTTAATCAACCCAGGGTAATCACAACCTCGACCTAACTAAGGATCTAAGGGGACTCATTCACGAGTGACTCTTCCCTTGCTAAAAAACTTTGAACCATTTCCTGCTTTCTTACTGCTTTTAATTAAAATCACAATCGCTTGACTTAGTTTGCTAGATAATAGATATTCACGGAGTAGGCAGTAGATCTAGAACGCGAGTTGACAAATAGAGCTTGCCTGTTACTGCATTTCCGGACTACGATTACACTTGGTCGTAGTTTGGTGTTGTGTTTTAGCGTGTCATAAAACAAGAATGAATCACTCACTTTCAAGACCAGTGGGGTCAGGACCTTTTTGGTGCAAAGGATGTGCACAATCATAAACTCTCGGCCCTATCGTCTCAATACCACAAGGGTAACCTCTACTTGCTATAGTTCACGAGATGGTTGTCACCACTAACTCGTCCGGAGGTCTTAGACACGGGTTCAGATGACTGGAAAATGTCTTGGACACGGGATAAGGGCTTTTTGGGTGGTGGCAATCATGACGTGAGGTTCTACATCTTCAACCTAACCCGAAGGTTCTATGGTTTCGACTAAAACCCCTCTTTTCAACCCAAGGCCACTAGCACCGGCCAAAATCCTTATATATCCTTTCCCAACTATCACCCATCATGAACTACATTAAAGCCCTCTTCCTCGGTCTACCCTTGCTAGCACATTAAGGTTTGGTAGTGAAGGACTTCTAAAACAATGTGGGGGTTTCGATGGCTTGGGTGCCAAGAAACCCCTCCTAGAGCATGTACTTTGGTTTTTCGTGGCACTCTCTACTTTATTTACCCCATTTTATTACCTCTTTTCCGTTTCTCTTTTCTTTTCTTTCTTTTTCTTCTTTTCTTTTTGAGGGGGGTACTAGAGAGTAAAAACACTTGCCACCTATCACACGTGCAAAATCTGAGAAAATACCACACGAATTGTCTACTCTAGCAGGTATTCAAGAATCAGTATGCATTTAGCGACCAATACTCTCTTTTTGAGGAACTCACTCCAACACTACACTTCATTTTTCTCATCCCTAGTAAGGACCGCACACGAACCTCCTATGTAGAACCTCTATGGAGACTCAAGGGCGAGAGCTCCGGGACACAAGGACGACTCATGTTTAGACACGAAGAAAGGATTGGGGTCATTCTATTAACACCATTAAGCTCATACGCATGAAGCTCCTAAATTGAGAACGACCCTCGAAGTCACACAGCTCAAAGGGGTTGACTAAAGGATGACACATTTCGGGACAATCAACATTTGGGCGTGGAATAATCCTATACCTCCATCATACTTACTAGTGGCAACTTGTGATGCTACACATGTGGTAAGAGGGAACTATCACGCCGGAAGAAAACGATCGTCTCAAAGCTCACAAGCTACCTAGTTACCCAACCATCTATTCCAATTCACAAACACGATGCGAGGCAATTGTAAGCAACAAGTGATCAAGTCAAGACATCCATTCATTTATGCACACCAGAGAACTAAACATTTGCCCTATCCTAATGAACTTCTTAGTCATCATCATAGGATATACTTGATCACATGCAACAAGTTGAGATCAATGCCATTAAACACGAGAATTCCCCACCATCCGGCCACTTTGCTCATGCAAACATTGTTTGGAGCCCTCCAAATTTTGAAATTTGGGCATACAAAATGCTCCAAGCATTAATCACACTCACACAAGCGTACTAGTAAACTACCCCCCCCCCCACACACACACACTTAAACTCGACATTGCCCTCAATGGCGTAAGAAAGGGGTAGAATGATGTAACCGCTTGGGCTTGGTGAGTGAAAGTTGGAATCGAACCGGGGTAGGATAATTGAGCTTCAAGGAGAGACAAAAAACACACACAAACACAATACGACTCGCTTAAGGCGAGGTTATTACAAGCACAATACATAGTAGTAGTTTATTTCACACACTCACACAAAATGAAGAAAAATAACAAAAACAAAAATAAAACGATTCCAGGGTTACAAGTAGAGAAGTGGGGCGAAAGGACTTTGCTCTGCCACATGTCTCACTCGTCGGCTATCTCTCTCCGGTGGAAGGACCCTCTCCAGCATCGGGTAGGATACCTTGGCGTCGAGCAATAAGGTCGAGGATGTCGGACTGCCGGTCGAGGCGGGATGAGAATCCCATGAAGCTCGTCTCTATACGATCCACCCTCTGGACGAGGGGATCGCCTGCTGGTGGTGGTGGTGGCGGCAGCCGGGTGCATGAGCAGGTGGCTGCTCGGCCTTTGGCGGGACCTCGGGGCCAGGCTCTACTAGAGCCGGTGCTATTGCAGCTCGGATGACTCCAGAAGGTCGGAGTCCGTCAAGGTACTCCACTTCTCTCTCGCCCTGGAGTACCAGCTTCTGGTTATACAATGTCTCCACTGGAAGGGCTCCATCCTTCTGACTCTGGTGCAGCGGGCCCGATCCACCTGGAAGTGACGGGTGATCCTTGTGATGATGCCCACATATGCATAGTGTCCACTCTGTTCCGCCCCAGGCACCGGGCGAAAGAGGTGGCGATAAACGATCCCAGATGGCTCGGCTCTACTGGCTGCTCATCGAGTAGAGGGCAATGAGCCCTCTGTTCATCATCAAGTGGCCTGACTGGAGGCTGGGGATGACAGATCTGGTGAGCAGAGTGTGGAGGATCCTCCAATGGGTCTTCAACTTCACCGCATTGGTGCGGCTCCCCTCGAACTCGTCTTGCTCGTGCTTTGGGCGGTAGAGGGCTCAGAATGCACCCTGATAGTTGAAGTCGACGGTGTACTGCCGCTCTGTCATCGTCATGTGGGTGGTGTCGAGCCCCATGGCCTGAGCAAAGCTATCATAGGTCAGCACTCATGGCTGACCTCCCAGTATAAACTCCACCCGTGGCCGGCTCTTCTTGCTGGTCGGGACGATATGTGAGAAGGTGGAGTAGAACTCCACGCACAGCTCGTGGAAGATCTCCTCGTCCATGGTTAAGAGCTACGCCACTGGGAATGGCAGAGCACCCCAGTCATGGCGGCTCGGAACCTGAACAAGTTAAACATGTCAAGTCCAGCCGCTAGTGAGGCCCAATCGGGCTGCCACTCTGGTAGGCGAACTTCTCGCCAAACTCCGGGTGGTTCACCAGATAACTGATGAACTCATGCTCCAAGTTAAGCATCCTACACAAGCACAAACACACACCATACGTAGAAACATCCGTCATATAATGCTCATTGGGAGGAAAAGAACACCCCCCCCCCCCCACACACTTGTGTTTCCACCATGGTTAAAACATTTAAGCTCAAACCACCGTGGCATGGTTGTGGGTAATTCACGGTTCAAGCACACAAAAAGTTGAACCACAACCCTTACCACGGTGGCTACCATCCACCAATCAAGAATAAACCCCACTTGCATTCATAACATAACACTTGGTGGGCAAATTCTAAAATAACACAATTCGGTTCAAACACGCCCACCAAAGCTCACTAATCTCATGCAAAAATCAATCCATCATTCAACCGACCTAATTCAAATAATTCCTCGCCCTAAATCTAGATTCAATCATGCAAAGCACAAAAAATTCAACCTCACTTCACTACCTAATCCGATTCTCCACAACTCACAAAGGTAAAGTCAAAAAACAAACCTGGAGACTCAAGTAGGACGAAGGAGGAAGTGAGGTGTGGGCGAGGACGGTGAAAAACGGTCGGAAAACTAACCGGAGAGGGGTTGCCAGAGCTTCGCGGAAGCTCGTAGGAGACTCGCCGCCGGTGACTTGGCCGGAAAAATTGTGCTTCAAATCTCCCCAAAATCTCAGCACAGGCCGGTTTTGAGGAGAGGAGGCTAGGTATGACGTTGGTTTTGGGTTTTGCTCGCCTGAATTGGGGGGAAATCGAAATGCGACGGATTTTCGCGTTTTCCGGCGAAGATTTGAAAATTTTTGGCGAGATTTTTGGTCGTGAAGTGAAGAGTCGCCGTTCACGCCACTTTTATATGCACGGCTCAGAGTTCACGGACGCGTTGCCCAGTTCACGGTCTTAGCAACCGTGAACTCGAAAATGCGTTTGTGAACATGGAGTGGTTGACAGGTGGTGAACATGCATCAGTACCCAATTCATGGACGCGTTTGCATGTTCCTCCG